TTGTTCAACAGCTGGAAAATAGTTTACTTCCAAGAAACAGGTCAGGCTGAAGTAGATAACCTAACATCCTTGGACCAGCACCTTGGCACAAACTTGAGCAGGCAAAGAGCTGAACGTACAGGCACCAGCACTGTGAGCCTCTCTGAGCTGCAGGAGGCCACGTGAGGTGGGCTGGAGGGTGGCAGCCACAGACAAGGGGATGGTCCTGGGCTCAGGTAGCAGGGGCCTGGCAGCTGACGTTGCCATGGAAATCTGGACATTAAAATTCTTTACTGGAAAAGTGAACCTGAAGATGAAATAAACCTTCTCTCCCAAGTCTCCTTAGTTAAAAAATTTAAACTGAACTCAGAATGTAAGGAAGGTGGATGAAGTCTGTGTGTCAGGGCTTGAACTTGTTTGGGGATTTCTCTAAGCTGGAAGTTACAGTGATATGAAAGCCCCACCAAGAATAAGCTGAAGTTACAAAGCACAGGAGACAGTGTCCTGCAGAAGTTAGCATGCACTGTACTATAAAGAGTGGAAACAGGACCCCTCACTTCAAATAAAAGGGTCCTCAGAGAGAAACCATCAAGATGCATTCCAAATAATTAATGAAACAAAATAATTTTTTTTAAGTGAGTTAAACACTGGAAAAATAAGTTGTTTCTTAAATGCAAATAGAGTTGATACAATGGACAGAGACTCAGTCAAAGGGGGGGTAGATCAGGAAAATCAGAGTTTGAATAAAAAGATGGAAAGTAATTTAAGGTTTTAATTGATTAATAGATGATAACATGAACAATGTCCAGTGTATGCAAAATGGAAGAACTAAGAGAAAATAGAGCAGAAATATTTGACACTATAGGCCAGATGTTTTCCAAAATTGGAAAGGTGCAAAATATGTGTCACATTTTAAAGGTACTCATTATAAGAATTCACATATAATGTGTAACTCCCACAGAGCACAGAAACTATAAAGGAACAAGGAAATTGCCATTATTTTGTTTTTGTTTTCAAAGGGAAAATGTAGTGTTTTTTTTAATAGGTAGAAAATAATTTAGATAGCATCATAAAACAGTTTAAAATCAAACTTGTCCATCAGAAACTATCAGTTTTGTTTTATTTTAATTTCTGGTGGTTCCAGAGGTTGAACCCAGTGCCTTGTAAAAGCTTAGGCAAGTACCCTGCCACTGAGCAACAGCCCTAACTCCACCCACCCACACTCTGGGGAAACTCAGGGCCATTTTGAGACATGGTATCATGAAGTCACTCAAGTGCCCAGGCTAGGCTGGAACATGCAGTCTTCCTGCTTCCGCTTCCACATGTGCTGGAATTACAGGCATACCCCACTACAGCCCCCTGTGTCCCTCCCTTTCTCTTTTTTTCCCCTTTTCTCTCTTCCACATCTCAACAGGTTGTCCAGCTGGTCTTGAATATTTTTATCTCCTACCTCAGCCTCCTGAGTAGCTGGGAATACAGGCAGGCACCACCACATCCAACTCTTTAATTTTAAGGTGAAGTTAAATTTTTTTAAAGATTAAAAAAATACTTTGGAAAATTTTTAACAATTTAAACTCTTTAAAAAGAGTTAATAGTGAAAAATATATGTAACTTTCTATTGTGTGTGCGTTAGACTTTTCTAGAAGTACTGATACATACTGTGCTTGGCATCTTGCTGAAATTGGATTAACATTTCTAACCTCTACATACATGTGGCAATGTATACATGAGATTATTCAAAACTGTGTGATGTAGTCAAATGGTATATAGGAGAAATTACTGTATTTTATATGCTCTCAGCACATATTTATGCATTTTATGTATTTAAAATGTTTATACCCAAAAAGAACAACAAAAGATTATGAAGTTAATTGACCAAATACGCAGAAATGAGAGTGACAGTGATGAAAGTTAATACCCAAGCTCTTTCTTTGAAGATTTATAGATAAGCTACTAGCAAACTCACTTATTAAAAACCCACAGTATTACAAATAAATGAGGATATTGCAGACAAATAACTGTTTAACAGCTAAACAGTGAGGCAGTACTTTTGAAACCAGTTGAAATGGATAGTTTTCTAAGTAGTAGTTATACAGTGAGGAAAGGATAGAACATTGAACTAATTAATGGTTTGTAAAACATTGGTTAAATGTGACCAGAGAAATAAAATGACTTCTTTTTGTATCATATGCAAGTTAAACCCCAGGAAGAAAGAAATCAACTTTGAGAGAACACATAGTACGGTTAGCCAGAGGAGAGGATTTCCTAAGCCCGTAGAAGCCATTGAAAGAAACAGGTAAACTTGATGGTGATAAGCTAAGAATTTGTCATCATCCAGTGAGAACTGTCCACAAACAAGACAGTTGCAGTATACATCCTTGGTCAAGTTTTCACAGTCACCAAACTAAGTCCAGAAGACTGTTTTTCATTGGGTAGCAGAAGCACTTACATGCTTCTGGTTTTTTGTTTTTGGTACCGAGGACCTTGCGCTTATAAGGCAGGCACAATGCCACTGAGCTAAATCCCCAGCCCATGCTTCTATTTTTCAAAATGTAGTGTGTTTGTAACAAGAATGACACACAAAAAAATGCATAGATCTCAGGTACGTGGTTTAAGTCTTGTTTGGTTAGCAAAGCAGAAGAAACCATTTCCAAGTCCACCACTGATTTGTTTTGCCTGTCCTGGAACCTACGAGTGGGATTGTATATGTCTTAACTTCTTGTGTCCATTGTAGTTTTGAGATTCATTCATGAATGATGTGTGTACCAGAAGCTTCCTTTGTAGATGACAAAACAGCACTTTACGCTGAAGTTGCCATGATTTGCACTAAGAATTTGCCAAACTCTCTTTAAAGTGGTTGTGGCCTTTTGTACTCCGTCCTGAATGTATCAGCACACTTTTAGTGTTCACGTGGATGAGTATCCAGTATAAAGAGGAGAAATGAAGACAGCTGAAATGTGTATTAAATCTGTGCTGAACCACCATCCATGTTCACACACGGGTGAGGTTGAGGGCAAGGGACACTTGTGCAGGGGTGGGGGCCATCTGACCACTCTAGAGCCAGACAGCAGCATGCAGGAAAGATGCGTTGTACTTCTGCACTGCAAGAAACTTGCACAGCTTTCCGAGGGGACATGGCAGTGATGTGTGCAGCTTTGAAAATACACACAATTGGAACCTGCTAAAAGGCTGTTTAGCAAGGGTCATTAAGAGAATGGATACATTGTTACAAATGTGTAGTAGAGGTATGGCTGTGTAGCTAGCTCCATCTTATCAAAAACACAAATGCAGGAGCAAATGTTAGTTTGTGTAATCTGAAAATGTCACTTATACAAAATAATGTATTTTGTAGATAGCTGTGCAGTGAAATTATAAGTTCATAGGGGTTTGCTCTTAGAGTGAAATTAAGGAAGGCTGGGACTGATGAGCCATAGAATTACAATCTTTATGTCCTAAGTCACTAAAGTAGTGAGGGGGATACAGGTGGAATAATGTGAGCCAAGGTTACGATTTGTCAGTCAGGCATGATGGCACACATCTATAATCCCAGCGCTCAGAGTGCAAGAGGATCGCAGCAAGTTCAAAGGCCAGCCTGGGCTGCTTAATGAGACTTTGGGGCGGGGGTAGAACTGCATCATGAGCAGAATAGCTGGTTGTCATAATCTAATTCTCTGTAACATTTAATAAGATGATTCATCCTTTTTAGACATAGTTGATTACTATTGAAGTTGAAGAGTAGTTTTTGATCGTTAATGTTTTTTTTGTTTTTGTTTTTGTTTTTTTGTTTTTTTCAGACAGGGTCTCACTATGTAATTGAGACTGACCTGGAACTCAGTATGTAGCCCAGGCTGGTCTCAAACTCACAGCTATCCTCCTGCCTCAGCCTCCCGAGTGCTGGGATTACAGGCATATGCCACCACGCCCAGTTTAGCTTTTGAATTTTCTATAGGTATTTGGCCAAGTCTCTGTAGAGTTACCTAATTTAAAGGGAATTGTGCTTTATTAATTTAAGGTATTTTTAATATATTCAAATTTTCATATTAAGTATTTATAGGACTTTACTTAGAAAGCTTCTCCAACTTTATAACAGCTGAGTGGTCCTTTATATATTCTTGGTTTTACCGTTTGTGTATTATTCTTAATTCATTTGTAATATCTTCTGAAAGCTGAAATAGCTTTCTTTACTGTCACTTATTGAAGAATCTTTTACCCACTAATTTGAAGTATCTTTAGTATACTGACATATCCTTAAAAACATCAGACTATTACATTGTGTTGCTGTGTGTTGTTTTACTGATTTGTCTTTGAGTCTGTCTCAGTGTTTGTTAACTTAGCCAAGTACTGACAGTGCGGGGGAGTCCATCATGCTTACAGGATGTGACAGAATTCGGGTCTCTGCTGGCCCTATCCCCAGCCCCTTCTTATGCACTGCAGAGGCAGCCACGCCAGGCTTCCTCTGCCCCTCCTTGCTCCCCAACCTGTGGTCATGATGGCAGTCACAGTGTGAGGACTGGGCTCTCCTCATCCACCTTAGAGAATAGCTTTGTGTACATCCATTTATAAACCATGTTTGGCTATTTCAGGATTTGTAACAGGTGCTTCTGGAATTGTAATTTATAGCTGAACATCTTCACCAGCTGTGATTATTTGTAGCTCTGTTTTTCCTGAAATAAATACTGTAATTGCTTTTTGCTCTATTTGCAACTTTCCTTTATATGTATTACCAGTTCTCAGGCTCTCTTGGAGCAGCTTCCCCAGTGTCAGGCAATCAGAAAGGCCTAACTTTTTCCTTGGCCGCCTTTCTCCTGGAAGTTCTGCAAGCCCTCCAGGTTACAGGCAACTTTGTGAATGGAACTTACTCACTTTTCACTTTATTGATAGTGCAGATAAGATCTTTTTCCTCACTGGTTTTACAGGCTTTGGTTGATATATTGGGAATGTGTTGATAACAAAATAAAAGGAAATATGTTCCTTACTGTTCACATGCATTTGCATGTTGATTTCCTTAATTTCTGTCCAAGTCATGTTTATAACTACTGTACTAGCGTACACCAGTCGAACCAAGCCCGGGGAGCTGGAGTTCCTCCTTCTAAGTCAAAAAAGGGACAGACGCCTGGAGGAGCCCAGTTTGTTGGCTTGGAATTGTACAAACGACTTAAGGAATTTTTGAAGAATTACTTGACAAATCTTCTTAAGGTAAGATGTTTTACATCTTTGCTGAGCATTTATAGTGGTATGTAAAAAAAATGAAATAATGATTCCACTTTAAGTGAGTGCTAAGAAATGTTTCACTTGTTTTTTCCTTCTGGTATTTACATGTACATAGAGACATCTTGGTATTGCTTATCACATGGTGCAAATGTTATCTTGGTTGTTACATGGTCATGAAGTCTGTTCCAAAACTTCTCTGCTGTGCTCTGGACAAGGATGGGGCCTGCTACAGGAACCCTGACCTTTGAGTAGGGCTCTTCTGCTCATGCCCTTCCTCAGCAGCAGTGGGAGTCTCAGCCCCCTTCACTTCTGCCTCTTCATCCTGTCTGCATGGTCTGTTGCAACCATGGGGTAGACAGGTACACCTTCATTGGATGCCACATATGTTGCACAGACTTGAGTGAATCTCTCTTGACTCTCTCTGCAAACTTTCCAGGGATTCCTAACAGAGTTTAAAGATTTGATTTACACAGGTAGTATGCAAAATCTTCAGACTGCTTCATTACTGGTCTTCTGATTTTACTAGCTAATTGGAACATTCTAACATTATAGTTTATTGATCACAAATTATGATAAATGTAGTATCACTTTCATGTCCCCCAAACAGTGTTTCTAATGTCCAGCTGCAATCACTGTGTCCTTTCTTTTTACAACACTGTGTAAGTTAAACAATGTAATTACCCTCTGGCACCAGAGTGAAGGACACTATACTGTGTTGTATTATAGTGTACTGATAGGCCATCAGTGATACTTTTGCATTTTAAAAAAGATCTATATCATAATCTAGAATGGCTTAGCTTTACATCTGAAGTCCATTTCATATTACCTAGATAAATAAGAAATTTGGTTGCATCTAGACATGATCAGGTTTTTTTACATGGCTGATTGGGTCATTTGAGTGCCTTATTTTTGTACATGTTGTCACTGCCTAGGAAATCTGGTTTAAATTGTGCAAACCTCGGTAAAAAATAATTTTGGCAAATGCACACTTTCATGAGATCTTATTAATGAAAAGTGCAGTATCATTGTATTTATATTTTTACAAAAACACAACAATCAAAAAGTAACAAATTTTGATAATTTTTAAGTAAACTTAAGAAAAAAGCACTTAAATTGAACATACTAACTCCATGCTATAAGTTAATAGGACATGTTAATTTTTTAACTAGAAAATACAAAAATAGGGATGATTCTAAAGGTTGAGCTTTCTTAATTAAAAAAATAGAGTAGAAACTGCCCTTATATTCTAAAAGTTCAAGGACCTTTTATGAGTTTATATGCATTTTTAATACCATAGAAAAAGTTCTACTTTAATTTATGAAAGAATTTCTTACTGTGTTCTGGTAATATATTAAGTAGTATGTTTTTATACAGAGTAATTCCTAACCCATCAACAATCATAATGTATTTCATAACGTATTTGGTCAGTAGGATTTTCATTCTCTTATATTTAGTATGTAGCAAACTCTAATGAACTTGTTTTCAGGATGGAGAAGATTTGATGGATGAGAGTGTACTAAAGTTCTACACTCAGCAATGGGAAGATTACCGATTTTCAAGCAAAGTGCTTAATGGAATTTGTGCCTACCTCAATAGACATTGGGTTCGCCGTGAATGTGATGAAGGACGAAAAGGAATATATGAAATCTATTCAGTAAGTTTTTTAACTTTTCAAATGTGTTAATGATTCGTCTTTCAGAAAAGGTATCTAAGCAAATGTTAAAGCTGTTTTCAAAATGGATAATTTCCTTTATCAGTACATGACCCTCTAATACTATATGTGGCAAGATAGCAGAATAACAAGAAATTGGGCTTCTAAAGTCCATACTTCTGCATGTATTTTTTAAAGGGTCTTTAGTTATTTGACCAACCATTTATTTCACCAACAACTGCCCTAGTCTTTGCTCAGAAAGCCCTCATTCCTGGCAGTTCCTGGCAGACTTGAAACACAAGCCCTGATGATGGGCCCTCCTGTGCTATCATGGCCTGGGAACTCTGCTTCCAAGAGGGGACACTGAATTAAGTAGGAAATCTCCCCCATTAATATATTTCTTCAGTCAGTAAAGGTGTTTTAGGCCCTGTTGGTTTTCAAAGTATGGTCCCTATCTTGTAGCGTCAACTGTCACCTGGAAACTTGGCAGAAATGCAAAGTCTCAGACCCCAGCCTAGACAGTCTGGAAGCAGAGCTCTCAATCTTTGTAAAGAGCTCTCCAGGTGACCTCAGTGCAGTCTGGGAAGCATTGTGCTGGAGCAGCTAAGGGAAGACTCCCCTTGAACAGCCTGTCTGCTATGGGCTGGCAAACAGATCCAAACAGGACTCATTTTGTACCAGTGCTGTTAAAATACCAGAATGTGCACAGTGAGGTGATTTCATAGTCAGGGCTGTTTTGCTAGATTAGCAGTGTTTCATTTCACTTTCAACAAATTTTATTTAAAAGAAAAACATGAAACCCAGATTCATAAACTAATTTTTATCATGTATATACCTCACTTTCTACACCCAAACTGTTGCTTCAAGACAAGTGTGGTGGCACACGCCTATAATCCCAGCACTTGGGAGGCTGAGGCAAGAGCATTGCTATGAGTTCGAGACCAGCCTGGACTACATAGTGAGTTCCAGGTCAGTCTCACTACATAGTGAGACCCTGTCTCAAAAACAGAAAAACAAAAAAACAAACTGTTGCTTCATGGTGGTACTTTGTTAGGTAGTTACATGGTTTTACACAGCTTTCTAGGTTGTCTGTTGATCTGAGGTTTTTGTACTTCCCTTTATTAAAACTTTTTGTAGTTGACAAAATTTATATATTTTTATCATGTACTCCATGCAGTTTGAAAATCTGTATACCTTGTGGAATGACTGCTGTGTTTCCTCTTGCCTCTTCCATGTAGAAATGGTTTCTTGAGACTCAAAAGTTGACAGAGTAGGAATCAACATGGTTTTAGTTTTCTTTTTACAAACCCACTTGACCCAGTGTATCTTGTGTACCCTACAGTAACAGATTCCTGAAAATTATTACAGTTTTTTAAAACTTTTTCTGCACTTTGTTCAACTGTTAAGGAAAACTTAAACATACAGAGATACTTTATAGAGTGTTTCTGTCAAGATTCAACCTTTTCTTTTCTTAATGGGGCAGAGGGAGAGGGGACAGAGTCTCTCCAGGCAGGCTGCTCTTGAACTCACTATATAGCCCAGGCTGTAGTGATCCTCTTACCACAGCCTCCTGAGTGCTAGGATCACAGATGTGCACCACCATGCCTAGCTATTGATTTTTATTTTATTTGCTAATTTGTCTTTGTGACAGGGTCTCACTATGTGGTTAAGGCTGGCCCTGCATTCATTATGTTGCCCTCACTAACTCAGGTGCAAAGCAATCCTGCCTCAGGCTCCTGAGTGGTGGGATTACAGGCATGTATGTGCCTCCACACCTGGTGATTTATTTTTAAATCTTCTTTTAATTAAAACTCCTACTTTCTACATCTCAAGTGCTGTAAGTTCTACCAAAGGCTGATCAGTACACCCTGCCAAGAGGCAGCCTTCCTGCTATACAGTGCTCCGGCAAAGCTGCTGAGCTCACTTGGAAGTTGAGGGAGCATTGGGCAGAATGCATTTTTCTCACAGATGTTTCTCTCCAGAAATGTTGTTTTATCATGAGATTGTTTCATGAGAAGTCATGAAGTTTTACTTTTTTCCAAATGATTTTGCTTCTTTTTTACTTTTAGTAAGTTGTTGGTTTCCTTTCAGGTCAACCAGAGGACCTCAGTCAGTTTCATTACTACTACATTAAAGAGCTTCACAAAACCTTTTCCCTGGCTTGTTCTGAAATTTCTTTGGTTTACCTTTGCTGCTGCTTTCTCAGCTTGCCTGCCTCCGAGTGACAAGTCATCAGGGTCCAATTAGGTCTCTTTAAAGGTGTCATGATTTAGAGAAGAGTTTGGAACAAAATTCTTTCTTCCAGGGTAATAGAGCTTGCTTAGAAGTGACAGATATATTGTAGAGGTCCACTCCTCACTCCTGCTGCAGGGTGGGGAGGGGCTTCAGCAGAGATAGCCATGACAGACTCTGCAGGGAGAGGAATTGGTTGTACTGCCTAGCATCACCGTCCTCCTGGAATAAGAGCCTTTTCCTTCACAGCAGCTTTCAGATGCCAAAATCATGAAATCCTGGTTTTGTTCTAATAGTAGCCTTCAGTGGACAAAAAATTTTATTCCAACTAATACCCATTAACACAACAGTTTAAAAAGTCATGTATGGCTGAGCATGGTGGCACATGCCTGTAATCCCAGCACTCAGGAGGCTGAGGCAGGAGGATCACTGTGAGCTCGAGACCAACCTGGGCTACATAGTGAGTTCCAGGTCAGTCTCAACTACATAGTGAGACCCTGTCTCAAAAGACCAAAAATAAATAAATGAATGAATGAATGAATGAATGAATAAATAAATAAATAAATAAATAAATAAAATGTCATGTATGCATTCTAAAATTCCTCTTTCAGAGCATTTTTATAGGGATTGTTCACTACTAAACACTGGCGTGTTTAGGGAAAAGAAGGCCATGGGATGTTTGTACATACTATTAAAAACATCTCTCATGGCCACACACTAATACAAGTAAAATAAGAGATCGAAATAATTTGTGTACTGTGAACTACCTCCATTAAAGTACATAGTTCAGTGCATTTATAGTTGTATATGTACACGAAACCACCACCATAATCAAGATGAAGAACTTGGTAGATTTTTATAATCTATAAAATGTCTTATTAAGCATTAGAAAATATAATAGATTTATTTTTATCAATTAAATTTATTAGGCTAGAGATTTAGGCCAGTGGTGCCACCACATGTCTCTCAAGCGCAAGGTCCTGAGTTTGATCCCCAGTACCAAATAAATAAATTTATCTGATCCAGGGAATAAATTTGTAGATTACATCCACTTTTTCTTTTAAGCTGATAGAAACATTCTCCTTACATTGAATTTTTCTCTGTATCTTAGTTGTTAAATGTGAGCTGATAAGTGCCTATCCTTTGTACCTCTTGAAGAGGTTAACTCAGGACTGGCTTTTGATTTCATCAGGTTAATAGCTTTTTACGAGTTATAGAAATTTTGATAAAATGTGGGGTTCAGTTTATTTCCTATGACTTTAGACTTGGGAGAACATAGTAAAAGTATAGATATTTAATACTTTGTCTTTTCATTTTTATCTAGCTTGCATTGGTGACTTGGAGAGATTGTCTATTCAGGCCATTGAATAAACAGGTACCTACTTAGAGAGAGAGAGAGAGAAAGATTGTGTGTATGTGTGTGTGTGTGTGTGTGTGTGTGTGTTTCTTTCAAAATCCCTTCCTGATGTTATTACTCAGCTTCTGTCTTCCTCACACTTGGATTCCTCAAGAGAATCTCACTGCATTGTTAGTGGCTTGGAATCCTGCAAGATATGTAATAGTGTCTGTTGTATTCTATAATCTTTCCTGTGTTTTTTTCTAAAGGTAACAAATGCTGTTTTAAAACTGATTGAAAAGGAAAGAAATGGTGAAACCATCAATACAAGACTGATTAGTGGAGTTGTACAGTCTTATGGTAAATAATTTCCCTTTATTCAATTTTCATATCACATGAAAATTACAGGAATGTTCTGACAGCTTCATTTAAAATTATTTTAATATCATCAAGAATGTTGCTAGTTGTCAGTGTGATTTTATTTGGCTTTACTCATCATAAAAGTTGATACTTGTGCCTTAAGGAAATTTCAGTGAAAAAGAAATTTGAATACTTTTCTGATCACTTACTGAATTACTATATATATGCTATGATAGTGTTACTGAGCTAAATGATAACCAGAAATCTATATCAGCTTGAAAAATTGAGATCGAGAAACTGATAAAGTAATAACAATGTCTTTAAAACTTGAGTAGCATTGTTATTTCTTTGAAAGTTTAAAATCAGAAATTTTTATTGTTTTTGGAAAGGTAAAAGTTCTCTAAATCAACTTTATGATAATTTTAAAGCATTCCTGGCCATGGGTCAGAATTTTTTTTTTTAATACAACTTGGATTTTTTTTTATTAAAACGAGTATACTTGAATACTAGTAAATAAGTTAACTTAGATCTTCCATTTCCATTGACCTTTTAAGCATAACTGAAGCTGAATGCCACACCTAAGTATTTTCTGTGAAATATAACAAAAATAGGGTAATTGAAATATAGCTCATATTTATTTCTAGTGGAATTGGGGCTGAATGAAGATGATGCATTTGCAAAGGGCCCTACGTTAACAGTGTATAAAGAATCCTTTGAATCTCAATTTTTGGCTGACACAGAAAGATTTTATACCAGAGAGAGTACTGAATTCTTGCAGCAGAACCCAGTTACTGAATATATGAAAAAGGTAAGCGTAAATACAGTACGTAAAGTAGCCTTAAGTTGCACAATCGTTGCGCCTCGAATGAGTTCTTAGCACACACAGCCTCCCCACGAGTCCTGTGTTGGCACTGTGTCCTGTGTTGGCACCGTGTCCTGTGGTGTCCTCGAAGGTGTGCGTGCTTCTCCTGTGTCCCTGGGGTCTGCTGTGACTCCATCTGATGGTCATGACTGAGTGTATAGCTGCACACCTTTCATGTTTTCCGTTGTTTCTCTGGAATGTGGATCTGTGTCTGATGTGTCACAGTCGTGTCAGTGACAATTTTAAGAAACAAATACTTTCGGGTTTGCAAACAAGTTTTTGCTTTTTTGCTCCTAAAACATTCCCTTAGGGGGTGTAACCCTGCTTTCAAGTTGCATTAGGGGAGAGGTCCTTCGGAAACTGGAGGATCTGAATTCTGATGGGTGAGAACAGAAGATGTAAGACTGACCCATGTGTCACACACCCTTTGCTCTGCTAAGTAGTGTTATCATGAAGTCCTTGTAGGATTGTTCTTTGTTCTCTTTCTTGGAAACACAAGTATCTGTCTAGACATAGGCTCTGAGGATTGAGTAGGTCAGGAATCAGTGAACGTTCTCTATGTAGAGCTGGATGTGAATATTTTAGGATTTGTGGGGCTGTCTGTATATGGTGTGTGCTAAAGCTGCTCAACTCTACCATTGTAGGGCAAGAGTAGCCACAGCAGTTCGTAAACAACTGAGTGTGACTGGGTTCTGGTAAAACTTTTATCTAAAAACAAGCAGCAGCAGGGTTTGGCCTACAAGCTGTCATTTGCAGTACTCCTAGATTCCAGGGAGTCTGGGACATATTGACACCTGCTTTGCCTTTTACTCCTCACTTGGATAGTGAGTGGACTGCAGAATTAGAAACTAAGTCGGTGTAGAAAGTTAGTAGAAGCCACAGCTCTGCTCTCATCTTGTGGAGAAAGCCCTGCCTTGTTGGCAGTGTCCAGATGCATTTTCTTATGGGAGACAGCTCCTGAGTGGAGCTCCAGAGTTTGAAACTGAAAGTCCTTGACAAACAATTTTTCTCATAATCTAACAGTGGAACAAGTCAGAAATATTATACTTGAAATCCTAATAGTTCTTTGTGCATATTTTGGGTTAAATTGTAGTTGTATGCTAACTGAATCCCAACCAGCTAGGAGTATCAGACAACTGCTTGCCAAATGGACTTTTGAAACATCTGTTTTGAACCTTCACATTGCCTGTTACTTTATTTTTGTAGCATGACAGTTTAGTTTTCTTAAACTCTTAGGAGCGCTTCTATAGATGCTAATTTTGTAAAAGCTATGGTTTGTTTTTTTGTTTTGGTTTTGGTTTTTTGAGACAGTCTCACTATGGAGTTGAGACTGAACTGGAACTTACTATGTAGCTATATAGCCCAAATTGGTCTCGAACTCAGAGTGATCCTCCTGCCTCAGCCTCCCGAGTGCTGGGATTACAGGCATGCGCCACCACACCCAGCAAAGCTTTGTGTTTTTTAGGTGGAGCTTCTTAGGGTGCACATCCACAGTAGCCTCAAGCCTGTCCTTCTTTTGGACTCTTAATGTATTGTGATCATCTTACCCATACATCATGGGGTGAATTTCTCTGGAGGTGGTAAGGTTTGGGCCAGTTCTGCCCAGTGTGTACCAGACCTAACTGTGGAAGTCTGTAATGCACTGACTGTAGGCACAGATCTGACTTTCACCAAATGGACAGTTCCACTCTTGTTCTATAAGCTTGCATCTCAACAGCAGTAAGCCTAGTTTCAAATCCCCCCACCATTTAGTAGGCATATAATCTTTACCTTTCCATCCCTCAACTTCCTCATCCGTAAAATAGTAATGATAATAGTACATAATGAGAATTAAATTAGCTTTAACATTACCGTCTAAATGAGATTTAGAAGTATATACATATAATGAATGCACGAAACAGTGTAGACAAGTGTGTGACAAAAAGCAAGCCTGGTGGGGAAATTTGGTCTCACACGTACACCTTGCAGTGAAACCATAGGGTAAAAGGAGCCATTTCATTCAGTGACTTAGGATGAACAGTATTAAGATGAAGAGTAGACCTTGAAGAGAAATACTGTGCTTTTAGCAGCCATTGTGGGCTAGATGTTCAAATTCCATGGGGGTCTCTGTGCCCTTTTCTGTCGTCAAGTCATTTAGTGGACATGTTTGAGAATCAGTGGTGCATCTTTCTAAGGATGACTGAACAACTTACACCGCTTAGTGTTTTTAAAATAGGGAACTGATCCTAGTAAAACAGCTTAGTTTCATGTCATCATTTGAGTTTGCTCTTGGTGTTCTGATTTCACTGTCTGCTAGTCAGGAACTTGCTTGCCTTGGGGTCCTTGAAAAATGTACGTGACTGTCCTGAGTGAGACCTAACAACACTGCATACCTAGGACCTTGGTTTCCTTCCCAGTCTGTGAAGTCAGCCATGAGGGCAGCCTCTGACCCTGGCTGCATCTTTGCACTTGGGCGCCTCTGCAGAATGTTCTGGAGAATGTGGCCAATCTTTGAGCTCAAAAGGGGAGAGCCAGTGCCCCTCAGAGAAAGATTCACCCATATTGTCAGAGTCTAGTCTCCGTCTGGGAAGAGAGAGGTTTGTTTTGCTGCCTGGGGAGACTGTGTTCTTCAGAAAGCAGGTGGAGCTTCAGCCAGAGACCCCGGTGCCTCTGGGAGGTGTGTGCGGTTGCTGCGCTGCTGCAACCTTTGTTCTGAGGGGGTTAGGCTGAGCGGTGAAGCAGGGTCTGAACTCAGAACATCTCTTCATGTCCTAAAAAGTTCTGCAGTCGGAGAAACAGTAACACATTCTCGTTGTAGACTCTGGAAAATACAGATGTTGTTCCTGCTTGTGTTTGTAATCATATTGGAATGTTGCTGTAGGCTTTTTGGTAACCTGCTCATTAATGATTTGTTAACATATTTTATACTTATTTTAGTGAGCAATGCTATTTTATTCACCAAATATGCAAGAATTTATTTTATGATTAATTTTAATTTTTTAGTTAGGTAAAATTAATTGCCTCTGGAAATTGAGTAACTTGAAAATTTTTATGTTTATTTTAGAATTCTTTGCTCTTCTCCTTTCTCGTGCTACTATTTGGATATATTTACTGACTTGTTAGTGATCAGTATACATTAAACATATTGATCTTTCAATACACACTGCAGTATCTGAGCTTACTTTTCCCCTTAAACTCTTGCTGCAGAATGTGTAATAAGGCGCTTGCTCTGCTCTAGCTTCACAGCAGTCCTGTGGTCATTCACAACAGTGCAGACCCTGCGCAGGCACTTGTTCATTGTTTTCTTGACTCCTCTGAGTGTTCAGTTCCAGTTATTTTTCCAGATTTATCCAAAATTATTTCAAATCTGAAAATGATTTTTGTACAATACTGGCCTTTTTGCAATTCAAAATACAGTTTTTTTGTTTATTTAGATTATGTGAACCATTTGAAATTACTTAAATTTCTTGCTTTGATAATTTTGTGGTTCCTCTTTGACATTTTTTACCATACATATGTCTAATGATGGATTCTAACACTGACATTCTGTCTTTCTGTTACTCTCTTATATTGCCTGTTTTCCTCTCTTTGTTGGAAAGAAATGCAAGAGATTAATGTGTATAACCCAGTAGATTTCAGAAGTACTCATTCAGACTATAATGTTTTTTAAAGTCTCATTGCAAATAATTACTTTCAAGTGGTCATTTCTGGGATTATACTGGTGGCCCCTGACTTCCAGCAGCTTTCAGTTCAGGGTAGAGGGTCTCCCTGTGGTGTCTGCATATCAAGAGGACTGTGGGTTCCTCGGGACAGTGGGTAGGTTATCCCAAAAGGTGGAATACCACTGAAGCATGAAGGCAGTTGAATGGTAATGACTGTAACACTGTTGGACTTTAAAGAGGAATTTGAAATGTGAGAGAAACCAGAATATTTTAAATTATCTTCAGCTATGGTTGGCATTTACCCCAAAATCAAGTCCCCTTCCTTTTTATTCTTAACCATATTTTATTAGAGCAGATTTGAGAGATTAACTTGCCATTATTCACACATCCATTCTTAGAAGCAAATGAAAATTGTTGCCTCAACTTAACTCTGCAGGCAGAGGCTCGTCTGCTGGAGGAGCAGAGGAGAGTCCAGGTATATCTGCATGAGAGCACACAGGATGAGCTGGCCCGGAAGTGTGAGCAGGTCCTCATTGAGAAGCACCTGGAAATCTTTCACACAGAGTTCCAGAACTTACTGGATGCTGACAAGAACGAAGGTGAGCTGTAAGATGTAGATACTGTACTTAACATTGGATTGGTATCTGCATTTTGAAATTGCTTGAAATTCTAGCTTCTGGGCCACTCTATCACCTGTGTCTGTCATTTCTGAAGAGATGCCCTGTGTGGACCTTGTTACCAAGTTCAGATCTCTGTCAAGCATTTTGGGTATCAAATTTGTAGAAAGAGGATCTTTACAGTTTATTTGGAATATCACTTGTTGCGTACACTTTAACACTAAATGATACTATCCACAGTGATTTTTTTCTTCCTTTAAACATTCTCTGAGCTGAGAGAACAGTTTGTATTTCCTTTAACCTCCTGTGCTTTACTGGCATGTGTTAGGATTTCAACCATCCCTGTTTAGATTTGGGATTTTTTTTTTTCTTCTGTAACCCTCATAAATTGAATATCCACTGCAGATAGAAAATGAAGAACTTGAGGGACTATCTTGTGACTTGTTTGTACAGTTGAAATAGCTATTTTCTTAAATATTCTCATATTTTTAAGGACCAATATTTGAGTGCCTATTATGTCAGACACAAATATTTCAGTCTTGTGAACTTTTAAAGTATTAGGTGCAGTTTGGTTTTTTAAGACTTTTTTTCTCTATTCTGTTAAGGGATTCCCCTAATAAGGGGGAAAATAAACGTATACAATGAAATTTCTGTAACAGTCTAACTTCATTGTTACTTTTAGCAAAATATGCTTATGCCAAAGAGAAAATACTATTTCATAATTAAGATTTTAAAACACCTATTTGAGAGTATCATTTATCTCAATATAAATATATAATTAGTGGAACAGATTTGCAGACTTTGACTCCATGTGTGAAGGTGGCCACTTTCTTCTTTCAGATTTGGGGCGCATGTATAATCTTGTATCTCGAATCCAGGATGGCCTGGGAGAATTGAAAAAGCTGCTGGAGACACACATTCATAATCAAGGTCTTGCAGCAATAGAGAAGTGTGGAGAAGCTGCTCTGAACGTAAGTGGTACTTCGTTGAGAACCAGTTGGGACTATTTTCACACATGAATGCAGGCATGTGTCACACATCTCCATTTACAGGTCCAAGTAGTTATGACTTTTTCTGAAACTCATAGAGAACTTGTTTTGACTTTCTGAAGTAAGTTCGCACCTCTTAGCAAGTGCATCCATAAATCATTCTTTGGTGCCTTTTAGGGATTGAGGTTCTTGACTGCCTCAACATAAAGAAGAGCTCCTAGAAACTCGCTCTGCCACTGCAGCCCAAGTTGTGCCTCTCAGGGACTTTGACAAGGTCACGAGGCTCTCGGCACCTTAGTGACCCTGGCATTTCCAACATTTCTCATTCTCCCCCAGTCCTGGAGCTGTGCTAGATTTTCTGTAATTCATGTATTAGTTTTACGTAGGAAATCTCACATTTTTCCAAGACATGGATCAGTTGTCCCTGTCCTGGATTTTAATTTTAAAAGTGTTTGGGGGAACTAATGAGAAGAAAAGGTTCTAAAATGCATTTGGTTCTTATGTTTGAGTTCAGAAAACTTTTCTCTCTCTGATTTTGTTGTGCTTCTTGTCAGTTTTATGAAAATATTCTCCATAGGATGTTTTTTTGAAACTGTACTTTGCTATTGTCTTGGGGGGGTGTCTTTTGCCACATTGAATTTGGAGGTTGCTTCCTCATTCAGGATGAATGTCAAGCCTTCCTTTATGTTTATAAAATGATTAACTTTGAATATGGGAGGGTTTAGCTTAGTGGTGGTGGTGTGAAAAAGATCTTTAAATGAAAAGACAGATTCATTATTAGTTTAAGCATAAGCCCCAGTCTGGACTAGTCTGCCTAGGTTTGAATCCCAGCCCCACCATTTACTAACTGTGACCTTCAGCAGGTTGTTTCCTGTCTCTGGCAGATGCTTAAGAACAGATTAACAGAAGTGCCTGCCCTTGAGGCTCTGTGAACAAGTAGTGTGTGCAGAGGGGTGGAATAGAACACAACCCTCAGCAATGATGAGTGTTATTCTTCATACGTGTACACAGTTTTTAAATACATAATTTAAAAATTCACTGGATGTGATAGCATACACCTGTAACTATACCCCTTTGGGAGGCTGAGTCGGGAGGATTGCCAGTTTGAGACCAACTTGGGTGATCAAGTAAGACTTTCTTAGAATAAAAGGAGCTGGAGTGTAACTCAGTGCTATTAGGGTTCAATCCTTAGTATTGCAAAGAGGAAAAAAAAATCTTTACATCTTGATGACTTACTTTCAAACTGAAGGTTCCTGTTTAAAAAGTCTGACAGATGCCTGTAGTGGTGGTGTATGAGTGTGAGCTCAGCAGTCTGGGAGGATTGCTGCAAGTACAAGCCCAGGCTGGGCTAGTTAACTTAGACCCTGTCTCAAAATTTTAAAAACTGAAAAGACGACTGGAAATGCTCGGTGTGAAGGCTCTAGTTTACTCCCCAGAACCAGGGGTGGGATCCTGATAGACACAGGTTCACACATAGCCTGATAGACACAAGTACATACAGCCTAGGGATTCCAGAAGGGCCACCTTGAGTTGACAACATCCTTTAGTAACAAGCAATTTTCCACAATTGGCCTCAGAACTCAGTTTTAGCCAGTTAAATGATTTGACTTTCCTTGAAATGAGTTACGTGATGAGGTTAGTTATTTCATCGGATGTGAAATTAAAATCATGGATTAGAGCCAGCTATGGTGGTGCATGCCTGTAATCGCAACACTTGGAAGGCTGAGGCAGGAAGATTGCTGCAAGTTTGAGGCCAGGTGCTGGGACAAGTGTGTGCCACCATGCCTAGTTTAAGTCTTTTTTTTTTTAAGGGCAGAAAAGTTTCTTCACTTGTCAGTCTTCAGTCTTGCTCTGAGTGGTACTACTTATGTTAAATTCCAAATGTTTGTTTTGTTTTGTTTTTTTGCATTTTACTCTCCATTTTACTTTGAGACAGGGTCTCATTTACCCAGACTGGCCTCAAACTTGTAATCTTTGCCATAGTCTCCAGAGAGCTGGGTACATGTGTGCAACATGCTCTGGGCCCAAAATGTCCTTTATAACTAAATGCCTCTGCGGGGGTCAAGTAAAGTTTCTTATCTGTCTAGTCCTTCTGTGATTCCATTTACACCATTCAGTTAAAAAACAAGCTTTCTTCCCTAGATTAAGATTTTACCACTGTCATATTCAAACAGTATTTCTTGTGGCAGATACTTCAAAGCTTACGTATCAGCTTCATTTAAGGATTTTTTTTTTAAGCAATTACAAAATGAAAGGCTTTTCCTGAATTAATTGGCTCAAGGGAAGTTTCCTGTGGCATTTCCCTGGGCACCTGATGAAAACTAGCCCTCAATGTCTGACAGCTGAAGGAAGAGCCCTCCAGCCTGTGCTGTTTTTAGATGGCCATGCTTTGGCAGGCCGAGTGTCAGCACAGGGCACCCTGAGGGGTAGGGGTCTCCAGGGTGTCTGACACTGAAGTAGGTCATTGCATCGTCTTGGCAGGTCCCCTCCAGCCTCTGGAGAGAGAGCAACCGCACTGCTGTGCCCAAGGGTCAGTGTGTTGCATTGGGACACCAGGATCCCGGCAGCCCTGTGCACAAAGACAGTCCAGCATAGGATGTAAAAGTGGTTACAAGCGTCGTTGTCTGATAGGCAAGTACCCAATCCTTGACTTCTGGACTGAAAAGAGTGGGCCTCAAAACAAATCAGCACATTTTAAATGATCATAAGATTTTTTTAGCAGTCAAAACATTGAAAGTTCTGTGTGCTTTTATTGATGGGCCAAAATACAAATGTGTTTGGTAGTTGAGATAGTAAATTTTATAGAAAAATAATCTATACTGAAATACTGAAGGAGGATGGGCCCCATCCACTTCACAGGTAAAATCTAAATAATTGTGTGTATTCATTTAGTAAACACTTGGGTCATTCCTACTCTCCATGGGAAGAATGCCAGATTGAAAGGACTTGCCCGTGGGTCTCATTATTAGATCTCCACGAGCCTATGTGCTTGGCTGACTGACTGTGTCACTGATCCGACTAAAAGCCGCCGCCTCCTGCTGTGACTTGTACAGGGGTGGTGCTTGCTATGCAGAGTCACCCTGTCCTCATCCTTTGAAAGTGCCAGACTGGGCAATCTAATGGGGCCAATCCTGTGGGGTCTCGACCTCAGAACCCCGCTGGAGCCAGGAGACAGCCTCCTGCAGGCAGGGTCTCAGCACCTCCTCTGTCCTCACTTAGTGTGTCGGGGCACCAGGTGCAGGAGGCTGGAAGAGCCTGTGTGAGTGGCTGTGGCTGCCTCTTCAGGCCCAGTGCCACCACCTTCATCTGAGCCCCGTTGTATCTTTGTCCAGGTGGCAGGTGGTCTTGTGTCTCCTTCCTCGCGTTCATCTTCCACAAAAATTTACAGTTTAATCTTTCAAAAACACTGCTTATATATTAGTTATAGTCTATTTTTTATCTTTTGTTTTAAATAAAACTTCGTTATGATACTAGATGAAATTACAACATTATACTAAACAAAAATTCTCCTGTAATTTCCCCTCCTCCTAATGTCTCTACTTGTCACACAGCTGTTCTGCTGTCTTCTTGGCTTGGTCTCCTGTCTTTATAAGGCCAGCTCAAATCCTCCATTCTAAAAAGAGCTCCCTTAACCATGTCCTCCTAAGCCCTGTGGCATTTATAAAACTCATCACCACTTTGTATTCATTTGTAACTTCTGAGCCTCCCATTGCTCCACCATAGATTGTAAATCCTGTAGAGTAAAGCTCATACTTTGTTATCTTCATTTTATACTTTTCATAGTTTGAGTGCTTCAAATCTCAGCAACAAGTAACTGGCAGTGGCTGGGCAGTAGTGAGGAGAGCAGCCACCTGCTAACTGCCCACTGTTCCCTTTCTGTGACTCAGTTATGCAAGTTGTAAACCCAAGAACTCAATGCTCTGATGATGTATCTTCCAAAATACCAGCTCAAATGCAGTTTCTTCAGCGAAACCTTTTTATCACCTTACAGGGGTAGAATCTCTCACCCTTGAAATAACACACTGGACATAAGACATTTGCACTGATGTCTGAATTCTAAACTAGCAGACCTGGCCCCATCCTCCTAGGTTTCTTTGGAACTCAGTATAAGGCTTTGTGTGGAAGACAGTTGGATATTTTTGTTTTAGTTGTATTCATGATTCCTAACCTTACATGATACCTAAAATATGAGATACATTGGCTAAGTTAGGGAGGAATGGAACATGAAACCCAGAGCAAAACTCTGAGCATGGGCAGTGTAGTCAGGTGCTCTTGGGGGAGAAATTTTTGCCTCTGAGTTTTTCTGATCCACACAAGAGAGCTTGCATAAAAACAGTTCAGCAGTCAGTGTTGGGAAGTGCCATCAGCTACCCACTCAACTTTTGGTTTTTTGAGACAGGGTCTCACTATGTAGCCCAGGCTGGACTCGAACTCACAGTCATCCTCCTGCCTCAGCCTCCCAAGTGCTGGGATCACAGGCGTGCGCCACCACGCCCAGCTACTCAGCTTTCTTTGTATTCAGAATTGAGAAGATTTTCTCAGTGGCTCATCCAAAAGAACACTAGTAACATGGGTGGACTCAGTGCCACACGCATAAGTGTGCCATGGAGTTGGAGTTGGTTTTCATCATCTTCCCTGATAACCAGCTTATAACACAAAGCCAAAATATAGCAGGGAAGAATCAAGTAATGGAGACTTGGAGCGTGATGATATACTTGGTTCCACTTTAAACTTGGAACACACTGTTGCTCAAGCTCTGGATGCTTTTCATCTCCCTGCAGAGATAGTTCATGAGCAAGCACAAATCATGTTCTGAGAGTGTTTCATTACTCTCCATCCTTAGGGCAGAGACAGAAACAAGCTGTGTGAGTGTACCTGGGGTGGACATCATCCGGTGAAAACGGGTTTGCAGATACTTGGACAACACTAAGGCTGTCAGGTGCAGTGCTGGGGTTTTGGGCTGCAGAGGCTGACTGGGGAGC